TGTGGTGAGATTATCTTCATTATTTACGGTGTTTTCCTGCATGTTTCCTACAACTGAGCACAAAAGAGCATGTTAGTGATATGCACCTATAGGCGGGTTCACAGCATGCATACATGTTGCTTATTACACACACAGGGATGCACAGCAGCACATGACCAACTTTAAAAATGAAAAAAAAAAACAATTAAAATGTAAAGATTATTATTGTCTACATAAATAAACCCAACGCTAGCTCCTCCTGTCTTTACCTCAGAGGGCTTTGGTGAATCTGGCTTATTCTGTAGATGGTCTTTAACATTGTGCATCATCAGATCTGTTTCCTCTGTTTAGTGAAGCGTTCAGCTTTTCTGTTTTGAAAGTCCGCCAGCGAATCCACCATTGCGCAACTACAACTCGATTATAGTGAATGGAAGATGAGACTCTGATTGTTTTAATGCCCATTACACTCCAAACACACACATGGCTCATTAAAAGAATAAGGACAACACTTTTAGACCGTGCGCTGGGCATGCTGACTGTTTTTCCCATTCTTAAAACAGCAAAAGTAGATTCAGACTCACCCTATGAGCTCCTGCATCGTGAGCTGTAGACCACAAGTTTAGATCATGAAAATAGAGCCACAATGTCCTTCTCTCTGTGCAGATCTCAGACACATATGCAGCTCTGGATCTCCAGCCTGTGACCTCTAACCTGTACGACTCACTTACAGTAAGTGAAAGTCAAAGTCAGACAATGATCACTGATGATCAGATGATTGATGATCTCTCGCTGTCTTTCACACAGACCGTTCACCACAGACCTGCTGAAAACTCCTGCTCCACTCTTGATCCTCAGAGCTCTTCTGAACATCACAATCCACCAGTAAGAGCAGTGAGAGGCGGAGCCAGAAACAACCAATCCTCAGCTGTGTGGGCGGAGCCACATGTGATTGACAGGGATCATTAGTGATGAGTCAGTGAATTGCTTTATTGTCTTAAAGTGTTTAATATTTCCGGCTTCAGTTATTCTGTCTTCTGTGTTCCTGTATGTGATCAGTTTTATTATTAGTGATTGTGCAAACCCTCACTCAACCAGCAGAGGTCTCCATCTCCTGCTCCTGATGTGAATATGTTCAGCTTCATTTCTAACATGCCATATTGTGAGAGTAATATTAATATTTTGATTGCTTAGTTTTGCGGTAGTGATTTAAATGCTATGATTGTTTTTAGGTTTTGTGTCTTTAATCAGTTAAAAATGCTTTGTTGATGTAATTGATCACATGTATTATCCTAATAAAGCCTCTTGAGTATGAATAATTCATGTTGTCAGCCTCTGTCATTCATGCAGTGATTAAACAGATCAACTCGTCTGAGCGTCTGCACATGAGCCTAAATCAATATTTAAACTGCATCTTTACTTGTTATTCATCGGCACATCAGTAAATACACTCAACCACAGCTGGACTGAAGACTGCGCTAGAGATCTGCGTGGGACTAAATTTTGAATCCCGCCCGCACCCGCCAGGTTTTAGCCCGAACCCTACCGCTCCCGCTTATATTAAGAATTTATTGTCCCGCTGCCCGACCCGCCCCGTTTTCTGCCTGCCACGCCCGATCCCGCTAAAGAGCAGGGGACACACATAGACAAATCTCTCTCTGTCATACGCGCACACACACACAAGCACCAAGCAGACACACAGGCGTTTGCTGTTATATCAACTCAAAGGCTTGTAATACCATGTATCAAGTACCAATGTAATACCAAAAGGTTTTATATAAAGGTATATAAATACTGAGTCGCGCCAGCTCCGGGCCGCAGCGCACATTACTCTCGGGCCGATTCCGGCGCGAATGCGGCCGCCGCATCTGGCCTGATTGATTCAGGCCGGAATCGGGCAGTGAGTCCACAAGCATCCGGAGTCCGGCAGCCGGAGCCGGGCTGAGTGGTAAGTCTCTGGCAGGCGAGAATCTAGCCGGAACTGGCCCGAGTGTACTTTGCTATCTGGGAAAGCTCTCTCTCTCTAATTGCGCGCACGCGCATTAACATACACACACACAAGCACCAAGCACACACACAGGCAAAGCTCTCGCTCTCTCTCTCTCTCTCATTCGCATAGCAATATCCGCGATATTGCTAGACAGCCCGCTCCCGTCCCAAATTAAACCCAATACCGACCGCTCCCGCGATTTATTCGGAAATTTATTCCCGTGCCGCAGAAATCTGGTCGGGTCCTGCGGCGCCCGCGGGAATGCAGACCTCTAGACTGCGCCTCTCTCTGGAAATCCAGAACAGAGTCATGTTACACAGGTGAAATCAAAACAAAATACAAGCTCAAGAGCTGGTAGTCAGTCAAGACAGGTAGCGCTCTCACGGCCAAACCCCCTCATGACATTTACATTTCAGAGAATAACTGCAGTAGTAAACAGTGTCTAATGAGAGGGTTTTGAAGACCTCTGAAGTGTGCATTTGCTTTTGCAAACTCTTCTGCTTCAAACACAGGCTTGGACCATAGACAGTAAAAGATATGGACGTCATATGCGTGACGTCACCCATAGGCTTCTAAAGAACGCAAAGTAAGCTAATAACCATCATCATTTTGTTTGCGCATCATTGCACCAACCGGGAGATACCAAACAAGGGTAAAGAGGCGGAGCATGAGCAGAGCTACAGACGCCTGCTAGCATTTTGCTTAGACAAGCTTTACTTTGAGAGAAACCCGGAGAAACACTTAATACTAAATTACCTGCGACTTGTTTGTGTTCTGACTACATGTGCTTGGTTGTGTACTTATCAATAAAGTGTTCAGACTTTTAAAAACACTGCTGTAACACATTAAACCACCAAACATTGTTCTTATGATGTTTTTCTACAGGAGGAAAACGCCAATTACTTTCAAACACTTCAGATATAGTCTGTGTTAGTAAATGCAAGGCTATTGATGAAATCCAGGCATTACAGTGTATGACAATGCTTCAGATGACTGTTCTAGAGCCTACAGCTAATCAATCTGACAGATTCTGGAGTGCATTACAGCTCTAAAGAACATTATAAATGATAAATGATCATAAATACATTAATAGAGATGGTACACAAGTATATCATTTTACTCACCTGTGAAATTGAGGCCACTTGAATGCTTATTGAGCACAATTAAATGAACACAGCATGCAATATCATCTGAAAGTTGTAGGAAACAATTTTAAAAGGCAATAGATTAAGTAAATCCACAAAAAAACAAAACAAAAATATTATGTATGTACAGAGTTCAGCAGCTAATCAGCCGGAATCAGCTGAAGTGACGTGACGGTGTTGAGCAAAACCTAGCTGTCACTTCAATGGCCACGTCCTTAATTATGTTTAATTAACAGAATGAAAACAAAACATGCATGAGCATGAGTCATAACAAAAGATTCAACACCTTGCAGTTGTCATGAAGGCTATTATTAGCTATATGTACCAAAACCGTCTTTTGTACCAGGCTGTAAACATGTGTTTATCAGCTGTAAATTTAAATTGCAGTTACATCCGTATTGACCAGTGTTGCCAACTTAGTAACTGTGTCGCTATAATTAGCAACTTTTCAGACCCCTCTAGCAACAAATTGTCAAAAAAGCGACTAGAAACAAATTGAGCTACTTTTTTTGTGTGTGACTGGAGATTTTTATAGACTGTGTCCATAAGGTACTATCCCTACTCTTCTCAATGAGCTGCAGATGATGTCGTCGGCCCCTCCTCTGCCTCAGAGCACTGACAGGCGGCCCAGTAGTCATACAGCAGCCTCTCCCACCTGCAGCCTGACAGCAGATCACTTTTCTGCGTACCGACGGCAAATGATTTATCACCAGCAGTGTGAAGGTATTTGCATTGTACAGTCAAACCAATTTGCTTCTCCTAACAGTTCAATTTGACCGTTTATTTTCTCTTGTTCACAGTCACAGATATTTTACGTGAGAGTTTCGTAACTTTTAATAAACGGAACATTCATTACGTCTGAGAGATTACTGCAAATTCACTACACATCTATAGTGATATACTGTATTCAAACAGCAATACATTTAGTTAAATTGACATGCTTACATAAAGCGTAGAGCAAATATAAACACCCCTTTACTAACCATGGGCTGTTAAACACACAGAAATGGTAGAACGTGATGATGGTAGTGATATGCAAATTGACATATGACATAATCAAGGGACTTTCAGAGATTTTTCAGGCAGAGCTTAGCGCCTTTTCATTGAAAATAGTTGGTAAAAGTGGTATTGACTTCACAAGGGGAAGCTGGAGGTTGCGGCTTGGTTTGGACCAACACATTATGCACATTTTAGTCCTGTGAGACCATTGAATACACATATCTCCACATTAGACTTGCTGTGTTCTGTTTTACATGTGCTACAAAGTGTACATAAATCTTATTTTAAGTGTACATAAATCACTTATTTTAATTCACAGTGAAAGAGATTTCAACATTGTCTCACTGGATTTTGAAGCTTCTCTGCTTATTCATTAATTTGTTCATTTTGCTTCGCCTTAGTCCCTTTATTCATCCGGGGTCGCCACTGCGGAATGAACCGCCAACTTATCCAGCATGTGTTTTATGCAGCGGATGCTCTTCCAGCTGCAACCCATAACTGGAAAACACCCAAACACTTGAAATGATGGAGCAGAAACTCAATCTACCAGTATTACTAGAATAGCTGCCATTTCAACATTTAACATCAACAGCTCAAACACAGTAGCTTTTAAAAAATTGGAAAACTGCCATCTAAATATTGCTTTTATCAGTCAGAATAATCCTACCCTCCTTTTTAATAACTTTTATTCAAGTCTTAAAGATGAAATACAGTCTTAGTTCACAAAAACACATTAAACATCAACATTAAACGTCTTAAAACATCATTAACTTGTGAGAGTTTCATCTCAGGTATGTTTAGTTAAGAGGAGGGACAGATTAAACAGTGTTAACCACAGAAACTCAGTTACTTTAAGGAAGAAGAGCATGTGTTAAAACAGTCAGTTTCTGTTGATCGGCTGCTCTTCAACACGGTAAGACAAACACACTGGTATTTGACTGATGATTAGTGTAGATGAAGCTCATATAACACATGATTTGTGACATGAGAAATATCTTGTGTTGATCTCAGTCATCAGTTGATTTACACACACTGATGTTGTGCATTAATAATCTGCAGATGTGTAAAGATCTTCCTAACACTAAGAGCTGTTTAGGGTGATGTACATTTACTGTTGATGAGTGTAGAAGTGATGATTAATGCTGGATTCTAGATAGATTTGATGCTGATGTGGCTCAGAATGGCTCCTGCTCTTCATCTGATCTTTCTGCTCATCATTCACAGTGAGTCAATCTTACATTCACATCACTGCTATAATTCAATGACAGCATTTTTTTTTTGTTTGTTTTTTGGCTAGTTCTTTGATATTGACTTGAAGTATGCCATAAATTGTATGTACTAATAAGTAATTAAGGTAGGTGAACAACTATTAGCTCATAATAAGAAATGTGGTATTCATGTTAGTAAATTGTTCTTCACTATAAGTACTGTTATTTTTCTTTTTATCACTGATGATTTAATCACTCTTCTCTCTGTTTTTATTTCTCTATTCCCTAGTGTTTTAAAGTCCAGTGGAATTGCTAAAGCTACATTTTAATCAGGACTATTTCTGTTTCAGGGGTTTCTGCTGCTGGTTGGGGTGTGAATTACAGTCCTTCACAAATCTGTGCTCTACAGAACTCATCAGTGACAATCAGCTGCACTTTTACATACCCGACTCCTGGATATCAGATCATGAAAGTGTTCTGGAACAAAGACCTTGTAAAAAATGGAGGAGAGTTTGCAGATCTGTCTGAGGACCCTGAATACAGTCAGAGGCTTCAGTATCTGGGAGATAAAAAGCAGAACTGCACCATCAGACTGAGTCATGTGACCAAGAATGATGAACACGAGTATTACTTCAGAATCACTACTAATGTAACTGGTGGGAGAATTATTGGTATTCCAGGAGTGCATCTTAATGTCACAGGTGACTCTCCTGAGGTTTCTCTCTTCTTGTGGTCATTATGTAGAATAATAATCAGTGTATGAGAGCAGCACTAGATATAATGTGTGTGTTGTGTTCAGATCTTCAGCTGGAGTCTCCTGAGAGAGTGACAGAGGGAGATTCAGTCCGTCTGACATGTAAACGCAGCTGTAATCTGACTGACACACCAACATTCATCTGGTACAGAAACGCAGAGATATTGACTACAGGAACTACTGGAGACAAACTCATCCTTGATCCAGTCAGAGGAGAAGATGCAGGCAGATATAGTTGTGCTGTACTTGGAAACACACTTGCATCGCCTGATGTCTATCTCAATGTCACCTGTGAGTACAGATTTATTTATTCATTTTTAAATGCTTCTGTAATTTATCTACGATGGACAATTAATTCCATTCATCTTTATTTCTCTGACACTTTTACATTGTTGATTGGGTCAAAGCAGCAACATAGAAGTTCTAGTAAATTAAACCTGTGTCAGTCCAGTGTTCAGTTCAGTTTGGTTTCATTTTCACTGCTGAGACACTGAAGAGAAAATCCATCGATGTGCAGCTCCATGAGTCAGGGGTGAGAAACAAACTTCACCAACTGACGAAAGTGAAGGAAAAAACTTAGAGAGAAAACAGGCTCAGTTGGGCACGACCATTTCTCCTCTGGCCAAATCTCTTATACAGAGCGTCAGTCTAGGTGCCGGAGGCTAGAGAACGCAGGGCGTCCATAGTGAGTAGGTTTAGGCAAGCACACAGGATTAACGCAAAGACTCGTCTGTAACTGGCGCTCCACTCCTCCATGAGCACCACATCATCTGCTCAGGATACGGCCCGGTCCAGGAATGTGAAGACCTCAGGATTAGACTTACATAAGCTATGCCATGTAACTTATAAGGACTTTAGGGAAGCGTTACCGGCTCCGCTTGCCCTAAATAATGTGGACTAAGGGCCTACTCATACTATGCCATCTGTACCGTGCCCAGGCCCGTTTCCTGGATCGTTTGAGAAGTGTGAGTGCGCTAAATCGGGCTCAAGCACGGTTCACTTGGCCGGCCCTGGCCCGGCTGGAAGAGGTGTGCCTGAGCGCGGTTCACTTGAGCTTTGGCGCAGTACGCTTGTAGTGTGAGTGCAAAACGCGCCAAAGCCCAAAACTGAAAGCGAGTTGTGACTTTTAAGGGATTGTTTCATATGGATTTATTAATCATTCTTACTGTTCAGTGAACGCAAACTGCCGTAGTTTATTAAAGACGAGAACTCCTCACTGCACCACAGCTGCACCTTCAGCAGACCTCCTTTTTCCTGCAGCACGAGAGCTTTATGATTGTTTATGAGCGCCAAAAGTGGCGGATCTGTTCGGCGAAATATCTGACTGCGTGTTCCCGCATCCCTAAGGACTGTTTGGCGAAATATTTGACTGCATGTCACTGCATATTAAACGACTGAAACGATATAACTAGAGAAATCTCCACTGTGCTGCTGAGTGAGAGAGCGTTTCTCACTGAACAGCGCAGCAGCGATGACGTAAGCGTGCCGAAGCCCGTTTGTGGTGTGAGTGTGGGCCATCGGGGGAGACGGGAGGGGGGACAAGCGTGCTTTGGCCCGGTTCGAGGCAACTGTACCTAGTGTGAGTACGGCCAAACAATCTTCAGAGGATTTGGATTTCAAAGTGTATTTTATGTGTATGCTAATGTCTTTTAACTGACAGAGGGTGTCTGCCTCCCGAACTGTGCTAAGATGGCTGTTCCAGAGTTTACAGTGTATCTGGAAAGTATTCATATACTCTGATCATATTTCTTTGTTTTAAAAAGCAGTCTGGCAGCTGCATCTTGAACCAGCAGAAGTGTGCTAATTAGGCCAACAGGGCAACCACCTAGTAACACATAACAATAGTATAACTGAGAAGTAATGAATGCATGTATAGGCTTTTACACATCAAACATTGATAGCATCTGTCGAAGTTTGGCAACATTTTAAAAATGAAAAAAAAAAAATGCAGTTTTACAGATGCTTGAAATCTGGCCTTGGGATGAGCAAAAAATCATCCCAAATTTTTGACTAAAGAAGAGGACTGAGCAAAGAATCCATCAAGCGTTAGACAGTGTTCTAGGGTTTTGCGTGTGAGGTTTTGGGTCCAATAAGCAAGATCTCAGATTTATCTGAATTTAGTAATAAGAAGTTATTAGTCAACCAATGTCTAATATCAGCTATACAATCTGTTAATTTTGTAAATTAGTACAAATTACCAGATTGAGAGGACATATGAAGTTGTGTATCATTAGCATAACAGTGGAAACTAACATGTTTTTTTTATGATATCACCTAGTGGTTGCATATATAGTGTGAAAACAGACCAAGAACTGAGCCTTGTGGGACCCCACAGTGTACTTTTGATGTGTATGATGCCTCTTCAATAACTGACACAACTTGAAAACGTTTAGATAGATCAGACCTGAACCAGGCCAATGCAGTTCCAGTAATACCAATATAACTTCCAAGCCTATCAAAGAGAATATTATGATCCACGATCTATTATCGGACGACAGGAGCAGGTCAGTTTCGATTCTTACAAGTGCTGTTTCTGTGCTATGAAATTCTCTAAATCCAGACTGGATTCTCACAAATATTGTTTCTCTGTAGGAAGGAACATAATTGAGCAGAGACAACGTTTTCCTAGAATATTTGATAGAAAAGCCAGGTTTGAAATGGTGTATAACAAGGATCACCAAACTTGTTCCTGGAGAGCTGGTGTCCTGGAGATTTGAGCTCCAACCCTAATCAAGCACACCTGAACAAGTGAATGAAGGTCTTACTAGGTATACTTGAAACACCCAGGCTGGTGTGTTGAGGCAAGTTTGGGCTAAACCCTGCAGGCCATTAGACCTCCAGAAATGAGATTGGTGACCCCTTGTCTATAAATGACAATTTTTTTAGGGATTAAGCTGTCTTTTTTTAATAAGAGGCTGAATGACAGCTAGTTTAAAAGTTTTAGGCGCATATTACAAAAGTAAGGAAGGATTCAAAAGGTTAAGAAAACGTTCAGAAACTTCTGAAAACTGTTTTAATAATTTCGGGGATATAGGCTCTGATATAGACAATGATAATTTGTAGGAATTTATCAGTTTAGACAGTTTTTTTCTTAATTATGTGTGTTGTAGATCCTCCAAAGAACGTCTCAGTGTCCATCAATGTATCTGCTGTAGTAGTAAAGGGAGATTCAGTGAGTTTGATCTGCAGCAGCGACTCAAACCCTCCTGCTCTGAACTTCAGCTGGTTTAAAGGAGAAACATCTGTAGGTTCTGGAAGAATCTTCAACATCTCCAAGATCAGCTCTGATGACAGTGGAGAATACAAGTGTAGAGCCAGAAATTACCTTGGAGAGAAATACTCTGCTCCTGTGACTTTAGATGTCCAGTGTGAGTTTATGAACGTTCAGTTATTAAAATTATGAATGAAGTATTTGATAAAATTTTATTTGGGTTAATTAAATGTTATCTTTTATTCTTCTTCTTCTTTAGATCCTCCAAGGAATGTCTCAATATCCATCAGAAGATCTGCTGTAATAATGTCTGGAGATTCAGTGACTCTGAACTGCAGCAGTGACTCAAACCCTCCTGCATTATTCAGCTGGTTTAAAGGAACAACGTATGTAGGATCTGGAAGAATCTTCAACATATTAAATATCAGCTCTGATGACAGTGGAGAATACAAGTGTAAAGCCAAAAATGAACATGGAGTGAAATACTCTGATGCTGTGACTTTAGATGTCCAGTGTGAGTAAATTATCATTTGTACAGATCATTGTTCAAAATAATAAATGACTATAATATTTTGTATAATAAGTAAATTTGGTCTGTTTCAGATCCACCCAGGAACATCTCAGTGTCCATCAGTGGACCTGCTGTAATAATGTCTGGAGATTCAGTGACTCTGAGCTGCAGCAGCGACTCAAACCCTCCTGCACTGAACTTCAGCTGGTTTAAAGGAGACACATCTGTAGGATCTGGAAGAATCTTCAACATCTCCAAGATCAGCTCTGATGACAGTGGAGAATACAAGTGTAGAGCCAAAAATGACCATGGAGAGAAATACTCTGATCCTGTGACTTTAGATGTCCAATGTGAGTAAATGATGATTTGTACAGATCATTGTTAAAAATAATAAATAACTGTAATAATTATGCATAATAAATAAATTTGTTCTGTTTCAGACGCACCCAGGAACATCTCAGTGTCCATCAGTGGATCTGCTGTAATAATGTCTGGAGATTCAGTAACTCTGAACTGCAGCAGCGACTCAAACCCTCTTGCAGAAATCAACTGGTTTAAAGGAGAAACATTTGTAGGATCTGGAAGAATCTTCAACATCTCCAAGATCAGCTCTGATGACAGTGGAGAATACAAGTGTAGAGCCAGAAATGAACATGGAGAGGAATACTCTGATCCTGTGACTTTAGATGTCCAGTGTAAGTTTTTAATAATTTGTACTGATCATTGTTCAAAATAATGAATTACTGTAATAATTATGTAAAATTAGGTAAATTTGGTCTGTTTCAGACCCACCAAGGAATGTCTCAGTGTCCATAAGTGGATCTGCTGTAATACTGTCTGGAGATTCAGTGACTCTGAGCTGCAGCAGTGACTCAAACCCTCCTGCAGAAATCAACTGGTTTAAAGGAGAAACATCTGTAGGATCTGGAAGATTCTTCAACATCTCCAAGATCAGCTCTGATGACAGTGGAGAATACAAGTGTAGAGCCAGAAATGCACATGGAGAGAAATACTCTGATCCTGTGACTTTAGATGTCCAGTGTGAGTTTAAAATGCTTCAGTAACTGATATATTAAATCCTCTAAATCTAGACTTCAATGCCATGTTTGATGTGATTTATTGATATAAGTGTTTTTTTTTCTGTTTCAGATCCACCCAGGAACATCTCAGTGTCTGTCAGTGGGTCTCATGTAGTAATGTCTGGAGATTCAGTAACTCTGAACTGCAGCAGTGACTCAAACCCTCCTGCAGAAATCAGCTGGTTTAAAGGAGAAACACTTGTAGGATCTGGAAGAATCTTCAGCATCTCCAAGATCAGCTCTGATGACAGTGGAGAATACAAGTGTAGAGCCAGAAATGACCATGGAGAGAAATACTCTGATCCTGTGACTTTAGATGTTCAGTGTGAGTTTATGATGGTTCAGCTATTAAAACTGACAAAGGCAGTATTTGAATCAATTTAAGTATTGGTTATTTGGGTTAATTATATGTTACCCTTTTTTCTTCTTCTTCTTCTTCTTTTTTAGATCCCCCCAGAAATGTCTCAGTGTCCCTCAGTGGATCTGCTGTAATAATGTCTGGAGATTCAGTGACTCTGAACTGCAGCAGCGACTCAAACCCTATTGCAGAAATCAGCTGGTTTAAAGCAACCAAGTACGTAGGATCTGGAAGAATCTTCAACATCTCCAAGATCAGCTCTGCTGACAGTGGAGAATACAAGTGTAGAGCCAGAAATGAACATGGAGAGAAATACTCTGATCCTGTGACTTTAGATGTCCAGTGTGAGTTTATAATGCTTTAGTAACTGATATATTAAATCCTCTAAATCTGGACTTTAATGTCATGTGTGATGTGATTTATTGATATGAGTGGTTTTTTTCTGTTTCAGATCCACCCAGGAACATCTCAGTGTCCCTCAGTGGACCTTCTGTGATAATGTCTGGAGATTCAGTGACTCTGAGCTGCAGCAGTGACTCAAACCCTCCTGCAGAAATCAGCTGGTTTAAAGGAGAAACATTCATAAGGTCTGGAAGAATCTTCAACATCTCCAACATCAGCTCTGATGACAGTGGAGAATACAAGTGTAGAGTTAGAAATGAACATAGAGAGAAATACTCTGATCCTGTGACTTTAGATGTCCAGTGTGAGTTTATGATGCTTCATCAACTGATATATTTCCTCTTATATATGTAGACTGTGACATATTTATTGAGAATGTTAATAATATCATTATTTTTCTGTTTCAGATCCTCCCAAGAATGTCTCAGTGTCCGTCACTGATTCTGGTCAGCTTTGGTCTGATTCAGTGAGTCTGATGTGCATCAGTGACTCAAACCCTCCTGCTCTGAACTTCAGCTGGTTTAAGGAGAATCAAAGCTCAGCTGTTGGATCTGGACAGAGTTTCAGTGCAGTACAGAGTGGACGCTTCTACTGTGAGGCTCACAATCCACATGGAGCTCAGAGATCAGACGCCGTCACTGTCACTGGTGAAGCTTTTATCATCACACTCCTGTAACTTCATCAGTCTAGAGAGTTAATCATGATCTGCTTCATCTTTCAGTTCAGCAAGGCGCTGGGAGAACTATGACTGTGATCATAGTCACATCTGCAGGATTAATAATCATCATAATCTTGCTTGCAATGTGAGATCAATAAAATCTGCACTATTTAAAACTGCAGTAACAACTTTCCACAGTGCTGTATTTACCTTAGATTTTTTACCATCATCTTTCTTCTGACAGGCTATTTAAATGGAAGTGCAAACGATCTTCATTGAAAGAGTCTGCGGTGAGATGATCTAAATTATTTACTGTGTTTTCATGTACAGATATATTAAGGGTGTAGAGTAAAACGAATTTACATTGAGTTCCTCTGGACATTAATGCAGTTCAGCCTGGTTCAGGTATCATTTTCTTTTCTTTGCTGGTTTGTTTGAATTGCAAACCATCTGTGCACCCATGGCTGTGCTGGTCTGAACAGGAGGTGTGTTAAGGCACATTGTTGACATGTTGCATATAAAATAGACCGCAACATTGACCAACTAAAAGATCCTCTAAAATTAATGCCGCAGTTTTTCTTTTATTTCAAGAGTTCATACTTAGATATTACCTGATAATGATAGCAGTTTTGGTATGCTGTCCCAGGAGAGAACCCTGAGCTCAGAGACAATTGAGCCCAGGGCTACCGCCTAGTCAATGAGCATGTGAGGGGGTACGAGATCAGGTAGTTCCCTAAAATGAATAATAACACCCCAAAAGGCTATAAATGCTATAGCCGCTGAATATAGTGATTGGGAAAGGAAAAAGTAAAGGGGGCTCCTGTGGGAGCAGACGGTGACACAGACTACTGCGGGAGCCTGAGAAGGGATGGCGTTGGGGGGGCAGTGAAGACTCCTAAGAGAGTCAAGGCTTAGGGTGACCCAAGTGGGAGTCAGAGCCGTGGGGTGGGAGGGATCCTGCTGGAGTCAGGGAAAAAGGAAGGGGTGATGAGGCCTCCAGCTGGATAGGGAGGTGAACGGGGGGTGGGTTGTTGACTTCTGGGGCGTCAATTGCTTGAAAAACACTCTTAACAGAGATTGAACTGGGAAGTGGCAGCACTATATATACAGATATAGCGATATGAAGACTGCTAGATGAAGCAGTGGTGCAGTAGGTAGTGCTGTCGTCTCACAGCAAGGAGGTCGCTGGTTCGAGCTTCGGCTGATTCAGTTGATATTTTTGTGTGGAGTTTGCATATTCTCACTGCATTCCCGTGGATTTCCTCTGCATTCTCTGGTTTCCCCACAAGTCCAAAGACATGCGGTACAGGTGAATTGGGTAAGCTAAAATTGTCTGTAATGTATGTGTGTGAATGAGAGTGTATGGGTGTTTCCCTGTGATGGGTTGCAGCTGGAAGGGCATCCAGCGGGAGTCAGGGATAAAGGAGGGGGACGGGAGGCTTGAAGTGTGAGTTTCTTTGGTTATTATTTTCATTTCTTTGTTTGTTGACAGTGTTCAGCTTTACTGCAATGACCCAGATGGCAGCGTTTAAGAGATTCTGACAGAGTTCGTGGACTGTATGCTTGCTAGAGATTGAGTTGAAGGTATGCGTAGAATGAGCCTGGGGAAAGCAGGTGGTGGCATGAAGCGGAAGGAGAGGAAGATCTCTTGATGGCGTTGTGGCTGAATTGTAAAAGAGCAGGTGCACAAGCTGTCTCTTGTGGGGGCTTGAGGTTGAGTTTGGAATGATCCAATTGGCTCACTAATGATTACAGATGAGAGACCAGCTCGATCAATCATATGATGTGCTCCTCTCCAAATTAGTTTTCTGAAACATCAGAGCACGTTAGTGATGTGCAGGTCCAAAATGTGCATACATGTTGCTTTTTACACACACAGGGATCCATACCAGCACACCAACATCTTCAAATGTTAAAAATGAAAGGATTAAAATGTAAAAAAATATTATTGTTTACATAAATGTAAAATTGGAGCCGCACAGTGGCTCAGTGGTTAGTACTGTCACTTCACAGCAAGAAGGTCACTGGTTCGAGTCTCAGCTGGGCCAGGTGGCATGTTAGTGTGGAGTTTGCATGTTTTCCCTGCATTGGAATGGGTTTCCTCTGGGTGCTCCGGTTTCCCCCACAGTCCGAAAACATGCGCTATTGATGAATTGAATAAACTAAATTGGCCATAGTGTATGAGTGTCTGTGTGAATGTGAGAGTGAATGGGTGTTTTCCAGTACTGGGTTAGCATAGTTAGCAGTTCATTTTGCTGTTGTGACTTCGGTAGAAAAATTAGGAAATAAATATAAAACCTGCTACCTCATACCACACCTACTTTACCTCAGAGGGCTTTGGTGAATCTGGCTCAATCTGTAGATGGTCTTTAACATTGTGCACCAGCAGATCTGTTTCCTTACTAGCGGTTAGATTTTCTGCTTACAAAGTCCGCCAGTGAAAATAATGAATCCAACATGTTGTGACAGGAGCTTGCTCTTAAAGAGAATGGGAGATGAGACTCTGACTGGTTAAATGCATGTTATGACCAACAACCCTTTTAGACCATTCACTTTGTGCATGACCATTTTTCCCATACTCAAAATGAAGAGGTCCGGTGTTTTGCACTTTATACCACAAGTTTATATCATTAAAATAGAGCTACGATGTCCTTCTCTCTGTCTAGATCTCAGACTCATATGGATCTATGGATCCCCAGCCCACGACCTCTGACCTTTACGACACACCCACAGTAAGTAAAACTCAAAGTCAGACAATGGTCACTGATGATCAGATGATTGATGGATAAACCCTTTCAGCAGCAGTTTGATTATTGGATTTCTTCATCTTATTGTTTGTTCGGTTTAACAGGAAGAGGCTGCAGTGAGAGGCGGAGCCAGAAATCACCAATCCTGAGCTGTGTGGGCGGAGATTGACAGTGATCATTAGTGATGAGTCAGTGAATTGCTTTATAGTCTTATAGTGTTTAATATTTTCGGTGTCTGTGTTCATGTTTCTCCTGTAAGTGATCAGTTAGTGACGGTGCAAACCTTCACTCCACCAGCAGAGGTCTTCATCTCCTGCTACTAATAGAAATGTTTATGGGGTTTTAACTTGTGTTGTGCTCAAAGTTATTTGATTGTGTTTTCATTTTTTATCTGCATAATTTCTAACATTTCATATTGTGAATAACATCAATATTCTGACTACTCAGTTTGTAAAGAGTGGTAGTGACTTAAACACCTCTCATTTTCATTTTTTATTTCACTTTGTGGGTTTTACTTTATTTTAATGGCCTCTTTAACGCATTTTGTTGAATTTAGGTTACATTGCATTTACATGCCAACTAATTCTCAGATTATAAGTAAAATGTTGGGTTGGGTTTGGGGTTAGTTGCCATGTACTTGCAAAGTTTCTTATGGCCAGTTAAATTTCTGTTGAAGAAGTAGAAAGTCTCCTAATACACAAATGAAAATTAACGACATGTATTTGCAATGAAACAATTAGTCAACATATCATGCTATAGAGCAGTGGTTCCCAACCTTTTTCTTTGGGGCCCCCCCCATGAACATATACAAACATTGGAGCCCCCCCACCATATCAATACACACGCACGCACACACATATGTGTGTATATATATATGTGTGTGTGTGTGTGTGTGTGTGTGTGTGTGTGTGTGTGTAATATTAATATATAGTAATATCTATAAAAAATATTAATTAATCAGTTTTAACTTGTCTTGGCCTTCAATAAAACCAAAATTTAGGTAGGCTTTGTCATACTGTCTAATCTTTTTCTTCGCCTATGAAGAATCACTGCATTTACATTTGTCTGCCATTTTTGTTTTGATTTTGCCTTTACGACACGTTAACAAGCAGATTGCGCGAGTGAGCAAAATTTAAATAATTATTTAAAGTTATTTATTTTAATTATTTTCACTATTATGTTGGAATTTTACGCATGTGTTTAGATTATTTTTTAGTTTTTGGTACTTAAAAATACATATATAATAGTAGGGCTGCTCGATTTTGGGAAAAATCATAATCACGATTATTTTGGTCATAATTGTAATCACGATTATTCAAAACCATTGCCAGTTAAAGTCAAAATTATTAGCGCTCCTGAGAATTTTTTATTTTTTTTTTTATAAATATTTCCTAAATTATGTTTAACAGAGCAAGGAATTTTAACAGTATTTCCTATAATATTTTTTCTTCTATTTGTTTTATTTTAGCTAGAATAAAGACAGGTTTAAATATTTTGAAACCAATTTAAGGTCAATATTATTAGCCCCCTTAAGCAATATATATTTTTGATTGTCTGCAGAATAAACTACCGTTATAATGACTTGCCTTATTACTCTAATTAAGCCTTTGAACTGCACTTTAATCTGAATGCTTGTATTTTGAAAAACATCTAGTAAAATATTATGTGCTGTCATTATAGCAAAGACAAAAAGAAATCAGTAATTAGAAATGAGATATCAAAACTATTATGTTCAGAAATAAGTTAATAAAATATTCTTTCCATGAAACAGAAATTGGGCAGGAAAAGTTTTGCTTATATTCAAAAGGGCAAAAAATTCTGACTTCAAGTGTATACATACAGTTATTTTCCACCTTGCAAAGCAAAGAGAAATAAATAGAATAAAAATATGAAACAAACTGTGCTTTAAGCATCTTCACTGTAAGAAAAACACTTTAGCTACAGCATTC